GTTTCAGCATATCCCATATGAACTGCATTCTTGGTTCTTGATGAAAGTTTGTCATTTTGATGAACAATCTTAGCATAACATAGACAACCTAGTACTCTTAAGTGAGTATAGGAAGGAGATTTCTGATATAGCTTTTCATAGGGAGTCTTATTATTGATGACAGTACTTTGAAGCCTGTTTATTAAATAAACAACTGCAGTTACACAGTGACCCCAAAATCTTATAGGTATTTCAGCTTGAAAACTAATTGCCCTGGTGACTTCTAAGATGTGTCTGTGCTTTCTTTCAGCAACTCCATTTTGCTGATGAGTGTAAGCACATGAAGTTTGATGAACAATTCCATACTTCTTAGACATTTAATTGCATACTGAGTTTATAAACTCAGTACCATTATCAGTTCTGATAGTTCTAACAATTTTGTCAAACTGAGTTTTAACTAGAACCGAAAATTGTTGTAACACAACACACACTTCTGACTTTTGTTTAAGCAGAAACACCCAAGTCATTCTTGAAAAATCATCCACCACAGTTAGAAAGTACTTATTACCATAATATGTAGGAGTCTTGTATGGTCCCCATAAATCCATATGAACTAGATCAAACTTGCTTAAAGATTTAATGCTACTGATAGGAAATGGTAACCTTGATTGTTTAGCACAAGGACAGACTACACATTGCTTTACTGTATCAACTATAAGATCAGTTTTGCTATGAATTAATCTTTTGAGAACTGTAGATGAAGCATGACCAAACCTCTTGTGCCACAGATCCACTTCCTTTGTTGGAGTAGAATTATTCTGGTCACTTTCCTTTATTCCAGCTGTTACTGCTAGGGATGTTCCAATCTTTTGTCTTTCTAGTATGTATAGTCCATCATCCTCCCTACCAATTGCCCTCACCTTCCCGCTGAAAAGTTCCCGAAATACACAGAAATCAGGAAAGAAGGCTGCTGAGCACTGCAATTCCTTTGTCAGTTTAGAAACTGATAATAAATTGAATTTGAATGATGGAACATAAAACACATTAGTAATTGTATTTCCTTCTGATATGGTGCTAGCCCCTGTGTGTGTCACATATGAAAGATCTCCATTTGGCATGAAAAATTTCTTTGGTTTTTCAGATTCAATTACAGTAGACTCATTTAGCATATTCAGATCTGCCACCATGTGGTTTGTGGCTCCTGTATCTATTGTCCATTCTTGTAAATTGTTGGAGACTATCAAAGCACAACTAATACCTGCTGTATTGGCTGCAGGAGTTGAGACTGTGCTTGAGACTTGACTGGTTCCAGACTTGTTGAGAAGCTGAAGTATTTGATCATATTGCTCTCTTGAGAATGTGCATCCTGCCATTTGATTCAATTGATTGAAATTGAGTTCATTCACAGGCCCTTTGTCCTCAGAACTCTGACTTATATTCATATTAACATTTTTTAAAGGACCTTTAGCTTCCTTGTAACCACTATATGTTTGTTGCATCAAATTGTTAGTCATAACATTGTATGCAACATTGTTTCCAGTTCCTCTTTTCTTTTTTGGTCTGTAATCAGGAGGATAACCCACAATTTTATAACAGTTTTCTTTGCTATGTCCTTTGAGTTTACAAAAATCACACTGAATATTGTAATTTTTCTTGAATCTTTGATTTCCTGTGGACCTTAAGTACATGACTGCATCAAAGCTTCCTGACATCATTGCAGGATTAGCACCTAAAATTCCTGTGGCATTGGTTATTGACTTCTGACCTTCATCACTAACTATCATAGCATAGGCTTGATTAACTGTAGGAACTGGACTTCTCATCAGAATCTGACTCCTTGCTTGGGCATACGAGTCATCAAGTCCCATTAAAAACTGATACAGCTTAAGTTTTTAAAGATATACCACAAACTCCTTAGATTTAGGGCAATCACAACCTGGTGCAGGCACCAAGGCTTCAAATTCTTCCCACATATCTTTCAATTTTGAGAAGTAGACTGAAACAGACGTAGTACCTTGAGACAATGTTGCAATTTCTTTATGCAGATTAAACGACCTTGAATCATCTACCTTATTAAACCTTTCAGACAAATCTTCCCAAACTACTTGGGCACAAGAAGCATACATACTTCCTCCTAGAAGATTTTTAGACACAGAATTCATAATCCATGAGAGTATAATTGCATTTACCCTCTCCCAATGGTTCCACAGAATTTCTGGAAATTTTTCCTTCTTGCATGAACCATCAATCAGACCTAACTTATTTCTTCCTAGTAAGGCAACACGCATAGATCGATTCCAGATCGAGTAATTTTCAATACCTGTGAGTTGAAACGAAATGATCTGAATGCCGCTCACATCAGCTGGAGACAAGAACAGAGGATGATTGTAGTCTACTCCAACTGGTTGATTACCAGTTCCAGTCATTGGATTTCCAACTCCAGATTTCAACGGATCCCTTGCATGTTGTTGAGATCCAGATCCATTACTTGCATTTTGTTCATTTTCCATTGACAAGATTTCACAAGATTTTGAATTAAATTTTTCAGTAACAACAGAGAATAGAAGGACCGATAATACGAGCTCAGAATTTCAAGCTCTGCCGCTCTGATACCATGAAGTAAATGATGAATTTCAGAGTATGTAATCTGAATTCAAGGAAGAAGATGAAGAATATTTGACTAGAGAGAAGTTAGAGAGAGAATGAGTGGAGAAGAGAGATGAATTCATATCATTCTTATTGATTAAAACAATTACACTTTTACAATATATATATATATATATATATATATATATATATATATATATATATATAGGTAATTAACTAATAATCTGAACTTAACCAACTAATGGACATGACTAACGACCATTGGAGGAGTGAAAAGACTAGATTGCCCTTATACATTAACAGCTATGTTACTCCTTTCTCAACAAAATTTTATGACATATTCAAGATCCTAGATTCTAAAGTATTTTTAGCATATATGAAAAATATACTTTTCTTTTCTTTTAAACTCCGTAACAATCAAATTTCAATATAATATAAAATTAAACGGAGGATGTAATTAATCAATATACTTGTGGGGGTTTACGTCAATTCATTGAATTCTAAGAAGATTACCGTACAGCATTTAACTTTATATCGTAAAAAATTTGGGCCAGCACTAAAATTTTGTGTGTATGATATCTTTTCATAAGCGACTAATATATTGACACGTATAAAATCTGGGAACAAACACCAACCCTAGTTCTGAGGTATCTTATTATAAGTACAGAAGCTAATCCTAAGGTTACTAAAGATTGCAGCTGAGAAAAGGAGATACCGGAAAAGGAAAGTAGGAAACCTAACACACAACTCATATTTCCTTTTTCAGCAGTCTCTATAAATGTGGATTTGATCAACTCGTACTCCGATGTTACAGCACGAAACCCATTTTATTTTCTTGTTTTTTTTATTACTACTTCTACTTTTTATAAACGAGCATATGCAATTTTGTTTTTTAGATGTCACTTAAAAGATGAGAATAAGTTAAACATATCATCAGCGTAATAATTTATAAACCATCAAGTCATTTTTACTTGTTATAGCACCTAATCTATCTAACTTTCTAGATTATAAATCACACATTTTAAAGGACTTACATGTATCCACCTTTAGGTAACTACAATGACAGTATATGTAACTTCTAACTCTTAAAAGATAACTCTAATATTTTCAATATAGGAGTTACACTTATAACTATAATATAATGCAAGATAAATCCATAAAGCTATAAAAAAAGAAAAAAGCAAATAACTAGTACTCAAGGGTATGGCCTATAGTGCTCAATAAAAATGAGACATCAAGTTTAAGGTTCAACGGAGACAAATTATCACTCCCTCTGTCCCAATTTATATATCATACTTTCCTTTTTAGTCTGAACAAAAAGAATGTCATACTTCCTTATTTAGAAATAATTTATCTTAAAACATCATACTACTCCCTCCGTTTCAATTTATGTGAACCCATTTGACTGAGCACGGAGTTTAAGAAAAGAGAGAAGAATTTTGAACTTGTGGTGTCAAATGAGGTACATATATTTTGTGTGGCTATAAATCATTGCATAAAGGTAAATTATTTTCAAATAAGAAAAGTGATAATTCTTTTTTGCTCGGACTAAAAAGAAAATAGGTTCACATAAGCTGAAACAAAGGGAGTATATCTTTAATGAGATATAATAATCTCTATGGCTTATTTTAGACCATAAGTTTTAGAAGACTTTCGCTGAGTCAAACTCTGCCACTTAAATTAGAAGGGAAGGAGTATGTGATTTCTTCATATCTTCCTAAACCTTGACGGCTGAATTACTTGGTACATGTACTGGTGGAAAGTAGCAGATACCCTGTGAAATAGTAGAGTTACGCGCATGCAATCTGGTTAGAACACAACTATCATAGTAGGAAAAACAATTATGTCTCAATGCCAAAACAAGTTTAGGCCGGTTAGATAAATACTTAACCATATCGCTTCATATTACATCAATCATCTAATATTAAACATGGATGGATGTAGTTAAGGACGTATGTGCGGGATCATTCGAATTCGATACTTTTGACTTAAACTCTATATATGTATTAAAAGATCCACTAAATAAGTAAAAACAACAAAATTTGAACATAATACATCAAATGAGTTGTGATAGAATTTCGAACTCAAGCCTTCAAACCCTAGATTTGGCTCTAGAGGTAAATAAGAAAAAAAAAACACAACAACAATAACAACAACAACAACAAAAAATCCAATGTAATCCACAAGTGGGGTCTGGGGAAGTTAGTGTATACGCAGATCTTACCCCTACCTTGTGAAGGTAGAGAGACTATTTCCGATAGACCCTCGGCTTAAGACTGAAACACTCTACCTAAAACAGTATGTTACTTTTTATCTGATACCTATGCTAGTGGGAGGTAGCAGATACCCAATAGAATTAATCGAGATGAAATAAAAGACTCCACTTTTTCTCTAGATATAAATAAGAAAGACTCCACCTTTTTCTCTCTCTCTAGGTAGGGTTTGCAGTTCCCTTCTACATTTTTTTCACAGTTTTGGTTGACCAGTGAGAAGAGAAAGAAGATCAACTATTACCCATATAAGAAAAAGTGGCTGCCAAAAATCAAAATAAAAAAAACAAGGGGTTAAAATGGGTAGGGGAAGAGTGGAGCTGAAGAAGATAGAAAACAAGATTAATAGGCAAGTCACTTTTGCTAAGAGGAGAAATGGACTTCTCAAGAAAGCTTATGAACTCTCTGTCCTTTGTGAAGCTGAAGTTGCTCTCATCATTTTCTCTACCCGTGGCAAGCTTTATGAGTTCTCTAGCACCTCCAAGTACTAATCTTGATCCCTCTTTTTTATATATATAAATGTTTTTTTTGGTGTATTTTTGTGGATCTGATATATTATTTCTCTTTCAATTGTCTGATTTATTTTTTAATAGCTTAAATCAGCTCAAAGCAACCAACTTTCTAGTATAGTTTTTTTTCTTCTATTTTTTATTACATGTGTGGAAAAAATTTTCTTGGATCTTTCTTAAAGCAAAATTAGGTTTTCAGCTGTTCATCTAACTGTTTTGACCCAAAAATGTTTCAATATTCATGTTTATTTGTGTGTTTTTGTGAGATCTGAATACTTTGAGCTATGTCTCTTTTTTTTGTTGACCATAAACTTTTGCTCTCTCAACTGTCTGATTTTCTTTTTTGTATAATGGCTTAAATTAAATCAGCTCAAAGTAATCAAACTTTTTTAATACAAAATTTGTTTTTTTTTTTGGTTTTTTTTATATGTATGGAAAGTAGTTTTTGGATCTTAAACAAATACATATATATAATATTTTTTGGATCATTTGCCAATACAAAATTAGGCTTTCAGCTGGTCATATAACTGTTTCTACCCCAAATATATATTAAAAAGGGGAAGAAAAAGAATATATTGTGAGTAGGAGACACAAATATTTAACTTATGTACACTTAGACTGACAATGTAATTAACAAAAAAAAGTGTGAAGAAATTTTACCCGAGCAGTGTCTTTTGATCTATTTTATCTGTTAATATGTTTTATTTTCTAAGATACTAAATTCCACTTTTTACGAACGTACAGTATAATTTTTTTTTAACACTGCCTGTGTTCATTAACCAAATATGTACACCCACAATCTTATGAATGTACAGTATAATCTTTTTTAACACTGCATGTGTTCTTTAATCAGATATATGTATACCCGGCCACAATCTTTGTGCCTTTTTATTTTCTCCGAAACAAAAGGGTACTTTCTGATCTAGAGATGGGCTTTATTTTTTGTACTTCTCCAAATACATTGGAAAAACCAGATAAAACATTATTCCTCAGTTTTTTCACATCCCTTGATGTATATTTGAAATCTTTTCAAGGATGACAGAACTTTAGATAAGAATATCCTCTTAAATGTATTTATTTTTGTGTCAGTGTAAATTTTCTTTTTGTTCTTTCAACAGTCTGACTTTCTGTTCAATGGCTTGAGGCCACTCAAAAGAATATCAATTTTCTAGTTTAAGGTAACTTTTTCTGTTTTTTATTTTTTTTATTGTTATTTTTTTTTATAATGATTTTTCTAGGAGTTATCCCAATGCAAAATTAGGTTATCACGGGTCATCTAGTGGTTTCTACCCAAAAAAAATTTCCAAAAAGAAACAAACTTCAACCTAGAAGCTGATGGGTGTCTTGTAAACTGAAGTCTCGTTGCAGATTTTTCTCACTTCAGATGTCTTTCATGGATTAGTTTGAGGACTTTGGTCTAATATAGTAAGAGCATGATGTGTGATATAGACCCACCTCGTAAGTTCGAACATAATTATTTCAAAACGCCCATCAACTGACCCTCCTGGAATTTCTCAATTATCAATAAAATGAAAAAATATTCTTTTAAAAGAAACTTTGAGTACGAAATTTAAGGAGAAAAAAAAAAGTGTTTGACACATAATAAAAGTATGCTTCGAATTTTGAGGTCTCTTTTTTTCTTCTTATAATCGAGAAATCCTTGAGAGCTAATTGACACATGGTTTGAAACTCGTGCGTGGATAATAACGTACACACTCCTTTATCTTTCTTTACTTAAATTCTAAGCCTTTATCTGTAACATGATTTAAACTCGTGACGTGCGTTATCTCATGTATCATGAGTTGCACTCTTACCACTCGCTTGATAAAAGATCTAAGGAACTTGAAAACTATATTCATTTAGAACTTGTGGTCTTAAGCATATCATGATATTGTTATAGCTATAAAAATATGTTATTTATATTAAAATGAGAAGTCTAGAATAAAAATATTCTAAAATATTAAATGTGTTATATTTTTAAAACAAACTAAAACTGAACGAGTACCATACAAAATGGAACAAAAAGACTGTCATAACATAATCTCTGTGTTTGCGTGTGTTTTGATCCTTTCGAGATAAAAGGAATAAAGGGCAGTACATGCAAATCTGCAAGAAGAGTTTTATTTTCATGACAATGTGTACCTCCCCAAACACCTTGGAATAAATAAAACATTGTTCCTCAATTTTTTCACTATCTTGTTGTACATGAGGACCATGAGAAAACCTTTTCAAGTATTATAGATTTTTAAATAAAAAAAATTTCTCTCTGTCAGTCAAAATTAGTCTTCAAAATGGGTGTTTTATTTTCCTTTTTTTCTTGTGGGATCTTTGTCACGATCGGGATTTTCCACCCTCGGGAGTCGTGATGGCGTCTACTAGTGAAAGCTAGGCAAGCCAATCAATTGAATTATTTACCTCGTTTCCATTTTTAAATCCGTTAACAGTTATAAACCAACAGTTAATATCAACAAAATTTAATAAGCGGAAGATTTGGATTCCAAGTTTTAATAATACTGCTAATGCCATTCCATAACAAATATGCCCAAGACTGGTGTCACAACTTCACAGATTGTCTAAGATTACTACAAATAAAGGTCTGAAAGAAATAATACAACACTGTCTCTGAAAATACAAGAAAGAAACAGGAATAATAGCTAGAAAGAGACGCCAAGGCCTGCGGACGGCTGCAAGACTACCTCGGGTCGTCTGATGGACCAGAAGTAGCAACCTCAATGTGGTCCAAAATCTACAACACTAGGATCTGCACAAAAGAGTGCAGAGTGTAGTATCAGCACAACCGAGCCCATGTGCTGGTAAGTGCCTAGCCTAACCTCGGCGAAGTAGTGACGAGGCTAGGACCAGGCTACCAAAATAAACCTGTGCAGTTAAATCATATACGACGGAACAATACAAGCAGAAATGTACAGCTAAGGATGGGATGGGGAAACATGCTGCGGGGACATCGAATAATAACAGTAGAACAACAAACAAATATAAAGATCACCACAGTTCAATTGAAGATAGGAAGGGGGATCATGCTGCGGGGTACAACAAGTATCAACAAAAATCCAATAATTAAATGTAGAGAAACCATAACTCAGTTATCAATAAAAACCAGGTTAATCAAAGACAAGTGCACGGCATCACCCTTCGTGCTTTAACACTCTCTCACCAAAACAATACACGGCATCACCCTTCGTGCTTTAACACTCTCTCACCAAAACAATGCACGGCATCACCCTTCGTGCTTTACACTCTTCCTCACCCAATCAACAATCACAAAGCAATTTGGGCAAGGGAATCAATAATATCACAATAAAATCAAGTAACAACAGGAAATCAGTAAGTAAGCGTAAAAAATACCATAACTCAATTACCAGTAAAATCAGGATAATCAAGGACAAGTGCACGACATCACCCTTCGTGCTTTTACTCTCGTCCTTACCATGAAAATCAGTATAATTGGCATGACATCACCCTTCGTGCTTTAACCTCACATAATCACTCATATAAAGGCACGGAATGGTACATCGTGCGGCACGGCATCACCCTTCGTGCTTTTACACTCTTCCTCACCGAAACAATGCACAGCATCACCCTTCGTGCTTTATACTCTTCCTCACCCAAACAACAATCACAAACAATAAGGGCAAGAAAATAAATGAATCACAATAAAATCCCGGCAAGGGAACAATATCAAAACAACAACACCCCGGCAAGGGAACAATATTAAAAGCAACAACATCCCGGCAAGGGATCAATACCATAATCCTCTTCTCTTTTTCACATTTACTTCAAAACTCGATTCACAATTTGAGCCAATGCTCTATAAGGTTGAATTGCTAATTATTCTTTCACAATTCACTTCACAACTTGAGCCAACGCTCCTTAGTGTTCAAATATCACCATTTCTTCCACAAACTTTGCCCAACAATAGAAATCATCACAAAAGGCATGAACAATACAAACAGAGTCATAATAATCATAATATAAGACTCACGGGCATGCTTGACACCAACGTATAGATACTCTTCACCATGCCTATACGTCATACTTAACAAATATCACATAGCAAATAGAACACAACTCCTAATCCTTCAAACTAAGGTTAGACCAAACACTTACCTCGAACTTCCACGACTAACTCAAGCCTCAAACACTGCTTTTCCTTTTGAATTTGGCTCCAAATCAATTGTATCTAGACATAATCGACTTAATAACATCAATAAACGCTAAACAATTCGATTCCAAGGCTTAATTATAGAGTTTCTATCATTCTTTCCAAAAAGCCAAAAATCGGCCCCGGGCCCACATGGTCAAAACCCGAGGTTCGAACCAAAACCCGACTACCCATTCACTTACAAACTCAAATATATAATTTATTTTGAAATCGGACCTCAAATCAAGGTCCAAATCCCCAAAATTTAAAAAACCTATGTTCTACCCAAAACACCCAATTTTCCCCATGAAAATTATTGATTTTGAGTTGAAATCATGTGAAAAGATGTTAAGGATTGAAGAAAACTAGTTATAAACGACTTACAATTGATTTGGAGAAGAAGTTGCCTTTGAAAAATCGCCCTAGAGTGTTTATGTTTTGACAAGATATGAAAAATGGTCAAAAATGCCCTCTAAGTGTGGATTTACAGGTCTCTGATGTCGCAATTGCGACCGGGTTCGCAATTGCGAACCCCTCAGACTGCTAACTTCGCAAATGCGAAAAAAATATGTCGCATTTGCGACCTGGCCAAAAATCCTGTAGCCTTCGGATTTGCGATACAGTGATCGCATTTGCGATCGAGGCCAGCCCAGGCCATCTTCGCATTTGCGACACATTGTTCGCATTTGCGAGCCAGGCTTCGCAATTTGCGAAGCCTGCAGGCCTGATCATACCAGCTGAAAACCTGCAATTTCCTAAGTCCAAATTCCACCCCGTGGCCTATCCAAAACTCACCCGAGCCCTCGGGGCTCCAAACCAAACATGCACGCTAACCCAAAAATATCATACGGACTCGCTCGTGCACTCAAATCACCAAAATAACATCAACAACTATGAATTTAGCATCAAGATCATGAAATCACTTAAGACCATCAAATTTGCTAATTTTCTCAAATAAGGTCCGATTCACGTTATTTCAAGTCCGTTTCTTACCAAATTTCAAACTCAACTTAAATCATGTATAAGACCAGTACCGGGCTCTGGAACCAAGATACGGGCCCGATACTATCAAATTTCAAACACATTTCATTTTCAAAAACTCATGTATTTTTCAGAAAATAATTTTCTTTAAAAATTTATTTCTCGGGTTAGGGACCTCCGAATTCGATTCCGGGCATGCGCTCAAGTCTCATATTTTCTTACGGACCTCCCGGGATCGTCAGAACACGGATCCGGATCCGTTCGCTCAAAATGTTGATCGAAGTCGACTTATATTCATTTTAAAGGCAAAATTTATTATTTTTCACAGATTTTCATATAATGGCTTTACGGCTATGCGCCCGGACTGCGCACGCAAATCGAGGTAAGGTAGAAAGAAGGTTTTTAAGCCTCGGGACACTGAATTTGTTTCTAAAACAAGTGATGACTTTTTGGGTCATCACATCCTCCACCTCTAAAACAACCGTTCATACTCGAACGGATATAAGAAGGAAGTACCTGAGTCGGGGAAAAGATGGGGATAACGGCTTCGCATATCGGACTCGGACTCCCAGGTCGATGCCTCAGCAGGCTGACCTCTCCACTAAACACGAACAGAAGGAAAACTCTTTGATCTCAACTGACGAACCTGCCGGTCTAGAATAGCTACCGGCTCCTCCTCATACGACAAGTCCTTTCGCCGAATGTAAAAAAAAATAATTCGCCAGTATTTCGCCGCTTTTTGGACGTTTAGAAAGAAAAAGAAAAAGAAGAAGATGAAAATCAAAAGTGCAGAACATACCTGTTGAAAATCATAAGAAGTCGTTGCTGCCTGTACTGTTGAAGAAGAAGAAGAACAACTCTAGTTGATGCTTTGAGATTGTTTTAGAAATCAGAAGTAGATGAAGAAGAGAAGAAAAAATCGCTACTGTTGTTGAAGAACAACCCTAGTCTCGCTGCTGTTGAAGAAGTCCAGACAGTGTTTAGAAACTCGTTTTTTAATAAAATAGGGCTTGAGTATTTTAAACAAAGAAGCGGACGCTTCTAATGCTTCTTCTCGCTTCACCGCTTCTCGCTTTTTACAGAGAAGCAGTCGCTTTTTCGTACCAGAGTCGCTTCAAAGACCTGAAGCGCTGCCCTTCACGCTTCGCCTCGCTTCTCGCTTAAAGTGAGGAAGCGAGCGCTTTTTTAATCACCGTTTGAAAGAGAGTCGTTTGGTTTGAAGATAAGTTATACGAGGATTATAATATAGGGATCAGGAATATAAAAATTAGTAATACATGAATTATTTCTCATTGGATATTTGATTTATCGCATTGGATATACAAGTTATCATTTATTCATTTTGTAAGCTAAGACGTAATGAGTTTACAATTATACCCTTGAATGCTTGATCTTCATTGACTTCTAGGAAAAATACATGGCTAATTTTGTCCTTTTGGTGCTTTATCCATGTATGTTATACATGAATAAGTTGTTCATTTATATTGTTGGTGGTATAACTTAATACACTATGAAGTTGTACATGAATCAGTTACAAACTAAACATTAGATAAACTTAATTATACCATGATCATATGCCATATACAGCATATCAAACGATCATAGAAGTCTAAAATTTAATTTTAACCATTTAAACTACATTCTGATCAAATAGCCGTCAAAACTATATAAGAACCTCATCTTTGATTCTTTTCAGTATTACTCTTCTTGTTATTGTTTTTTTCCTTTACTTTGTTGTATAATGATAGTTTGGGTCACTTGGATAATCGTTCAAAGTGAACATGTGGATATTCTTGGTGTCAACCCTACCATTCTTACAATTTTAAGTTTTTTTTCTTCTTTCAAATGTATCAGCACGCTCAAAACCCTTGAAAGGTACCAAAAATGCAGCTATGGCACGTTAGAAGTCAAACAATCTGGCAGAGATGCTAATGAGGTAAATTAAATCCAGAAATCTTGCTACTACACTTTCTCAATTTTTGTTGCTTTCTTGTATTGCTCTTTTGAACAGAAATATACAGAGTTGAACTCTTTATAAATTTGCTATCGAATTCATCTTCCGTTTACAGGAAAAGTTCTATAGGGAGTACTTAAAGCTTAAAGCCAAATATGAGTCCCTGCAGCGATATCAAAGGTAATTTGCATGGATGTTTTAATGGATTTTGTTAAAACATTAATGCTACTTTTAAACTCAGGCTTATTTGCATGGATGTTTTAATGGATTTTGTTGCAACTATAGTCCTACTAAATGTCATCCTTTCACGGATGGTTTAGTTGTTTTTGTGGCGGTAAAAGTCGCTACTAAATAAAAAGTCATTTTCCAATAGCAACACGAGAGTTACCACTGATGATTTAATGGATGTGACTTACTCGCCATTAAAATCTTTCTTCGCAGCGACTTGCCCAAATTCTATTTTGTGGAACTTTTTGTGGTCTATTTGTTTAACTTTTCTAGCATTTCTGTCGCCACAAAATGTGTCGTTTCTGGCAACCCCGGGTGCCGTCACAAATAAGATTAGAAATGGAAGTGATTGCAGTAATCCTATGTTCGTCACTAAAAAATCATCTAGTAACGACTTTAAAGGCCTTTGTAGCGACCATAGTTGCCACGAAAAGGCCGATTTTTTGTAGCACGTGTGGCCTTTTCCGAAGACTGTTTTACATTCTGTCCTGTTAATTCAGCTGGTTTAATTTTTCCGGCACAACAAGCTTTTTCTTTTTTCACACCAATTTAGCACATTGAACTAATAGAGATATTATTTAAACGAAAAAGGTCCAAAAATGCCCTTGTATTGAAAATGGTTCACTATTGCCCTCTGTTAACCTTTCGGACTATAAGTACCCTGAACTTTTTATTTTGGCCCAAATTTCCCCTAAAACTAACTGACCATACTTGGTAAAATTTTGGGCTAGTAAATAGCTATGTGGCACGAGTATGCCCCATAAATATCATGGTATAGCCAGTTTTCACACCGGTCAATGAAAAATAGCCAGCGTTTATCAAGTCAATGAAAAATAGTCACTATTTTGCTGCAACAGGGACCGGTTCAGTATAATATACGGGAGTTCTGGTGCATTTGTGTACGAACTCCAGCATATTATACTGGACCGGTATACTTTGCTAACTCCTGTAAAATTTGCGGGAGACTGGAGCACCAGTGCTCCAAACTCCAGTATATTATACTGGACAATTATACTTGCTGGAACTCCCGTAAAATTTGCGGAAGTTCCAGCATAATTATGCTTGAACTCCCGTAAAATTTGCGGGAGTTCCAGCATAGTTATCCTGGAACTCCCGTAAAATTTACGGGAGTTCAAGCATACTTATGCTGGAACTCCCGTAAAATTTGCGGACGTATTTTTTCGGATTTTGAACAGTGTTTTCGCTCAGATTTAAAGTGGCTAAATTTCGATGACTTTTGAAACTTAGCTATTTTTCAACGACTAGTGGTAAATCTGGCTATTTTTGAATTTCTCCCAGTATGCCACGTTTCATATCAAGGTCAAAACAACAACCCACCCATATGAAAGATATCCCAACCCGCCCGACCCCTTACCCAAAGTAACCCCCGATACATAACTCATTCTACCCAAGACCTGTAGCCCTCCGTTATTTCCTCTTATCGAACTCCCATGAACAAATCGATTTAGGGCGCAGGCTTCACTTGGAAATCAGAAAGGTTAACGGAGGGCAATGATGAACCATATTCAATATATTAGGGGTATTTTTAGCCCTTTTCCGTTATTTAAATAGTGGTTTCAGAAAAGGCCAATTGTGCAAATGCTCCCTTGAATCATGTATTCTTATCTGCTAGCTAACATATTTGACATTTTGTTTGACAGACACCTTCTTGGGGATGAACTGGGCCCTCTAAACATAGATGAGCTTGAGCACCTTGAACTTCAGCTAGATACTTCCCTCAAACATATAAAATCCACCAGGGTAAGCAAACTGTAGATGCATATACTCCATCATTAAAAAAAACAGTTCTCTTTTTTTGATAAATTGATGTGCCTGAATTAGCTTGCACGCACCTTCATTATCCAACGAATATCTGCTACCCCCATCAGGGTAATTTTGCATAGATTGAAAAAAACCATCTAACCTTTTTTCTTCTAACATATATGTTGACATTTTAACCATGGTCTGCAATGTTTTTACCCAGTTCATTGACCACTAAGTAACATCTTTAATTGGGTGCAAGAAAAAATAATGTTTGGTATTGTGTTATGCTATGTATAAAACATAAATGACCAACTTTACATTATATTTGTTTTTGTCCAGAAACCACTCGCGACCCACTAATCTAGATTTCCGCCATAGAATAAACCAAAAGAATAACTTTGAAATGACCCTAAACTATTGAAAAATATTTAAAAAAACTGAAAAAAATATTTTTTTGTAAAAACTAAATTGTTTTTTGTGAAAACTGGAAAAAAGAAGAAGACTTTACTAAATTAGTGGACTACTGGTGTATTAGTTTGAAAAAACAAAAATATTTCAGAAATATTTTTTTTAAGTTTTACAAAAGAATAATAATTATTTTTAATTCAGCATTGACCTAACGGTCAAAGGGCATAAGTGAACCAAAAAGGTGGATGGAGGGGTATTTTTAGCCCAATAGGTGAATGAAGGGTATTTTTAAACCTTTTCCGATAATTTAGGGGCATTTTGAACCCTTTTCCGTTAATTTAATTATCCATCTCTTTTGGTGGCTTTCCAGACACAGTTGATGCTTGACCAGCTTACTGATCTTCAAACTAAGGTAACCTACATTTGGTTCCTAATATTCTTGGATAAATTTCACATATTGTTCCTCTATTTATATTTCAATTACAGGAGAAGTTGTGGATTGAAGCAAACAAGGGTCTTGAAAGAAAGGTAGGGTAGACCATACCTAACACTTCGCTCATTCTTGGACTTTATATATTGTAAAATTTTCCCTCATTGTGTTTTATACTTTAAAAGAAAATTTCACTATTGTAACATATACATAAAAGATAACTACATTACTACTGGGTCATTGCTCATAATAAGCGAAATCTTTAACCTCAAAATTAAGGTATACAATCTCTACCAGTAGGTTAATTGCACTAGTAATGTAAACATTGTTCGTGCATATTTTTCCTTTTTTTCTTCGTTTTTCTTATAACAACGACAACAACTACATACCAGTATATTTCCAAAAGTACAGTCTAGGGAAGGTAATATGTATCCAATCCTTACCCCTACCTTGTGAAGGTAGAGTGGCTGTTTCCGAAAGACCCCGGCTCAAGTATTTTTGTATACGCCGCAAATATAAATTATATTCATTTTCTAAATACTTCATTAGTTATATCTTAGATCTAATTTCATATCTTATGGATGGATCCTATAAATCATGTTGCAATGATTAAACTTTTATATATAGCTGGAAGAAATTTATGCTGAAAACAACCTTCAACAATCCTGGGGAGGTGGTGAGCAAAGTGGCGCTTACAGCCAGCAGCATCCTCAAACTCAGGGTTTTTTCCAACCTCTAGAATGCAACTCCACCTTGCAAATAGGGTGAGATTCTAATTTTATTAGTTATTACTCCTAATTGCTATGTTGCGCGAACTCTCCAAAATGTTGCCGCACCCGTGTCGGATTCTCCAAAAATACACTGCTTTGGAGTATCCGACACGCACCCGACGACATCTTCGGAGAGTCCGAGCAACATAGCCTAATTGTACTCCCTCTTTTTCATTTTACGTGAAGATGATTAACTGGATAAGAATTTCAATAACGAAATTTCTATAGCTACAAAATCATGTGATTAACAACGTAAAAATGAGCAGTACTCCAAAGTAAATTATATTTAAATATAAAAGTGTGTCATTGTTTTCTGAACTAGCTGAAAAAGATAGAGTCACGTAAAATGGAAGAGAAGTAGTATTTTCAACTATATGCTGGGACTGATATATATGGGAAATAGGTATGCAAAGCACATTCACTATCTTCCACTAGAATTATTTTGTTGAGAAAAGATCAACAAAATAATGCGTGAAATGGTACTCTATATCCACTAACTTAAAATTCTGGATCTACCTATATCATATATTCCCGACTTCGAATGGGGATAGACTAAGGCTTATTTTCCTTTGATGATAGGTATGATCCAGCAAGTTCAAGCCAAATAACAGGTGTAACCAGTGGCCAGAACATCAGTGGCATAGTCCCAGGTTGGATGCTGTGAATGTACCTTAAAAGCTAATCTTCATGTCATATCATAAGCAAATAAATGCAGTTATTCAGCTATCTGAGAACTGTAACCTCCTTTCTCTTAGTTTCTAATTTTGTGCAAAGCGCTGTGGATACAGTTGCTTAGAGATGTTTTATCAACCATAGCTGATGTAGAACAATTTTATGACACATTTAAAGCACTTTTCCACAATCTTTATACTGTGAGAAAGCTTCAACTTTTAACATATTTAATTTTTGCAAAATAAGTCCGTTTTTGGATGGATTATCATTCTTTTTAGTTTAACTTTTTGTTAATTCATAAAAGATGGGTAAAAATAAATCAATGTTTTTTGTACTCAACTTCGAATACTGAAAGTTTGAAGAAGAAAGAAATGTATGGAGCATTTGTATATGCTAGGCACAAAATGTGCTATAACGACTTTGTTGCAGAATATCGTGGGTTAAGCACACAATCACACACAAAGAAAATATAGAAGAAAAATCAATACAAGGATTTAACGAGGTTCGGCTAAGCCCTCGGGGCAAAAGCAGAGAGAGTTTTCCACTATGAATGAGAAGAAAAGCACAATACAATCTATAGAATCCCCAACTACAACCCCTATATATAGATCCCAAAAGGTCCCAAACCTATAAGAGAAAGGTTTCCCAATTTGACTAGGACAATAGCTTTTCCTTTTCCAAATCTATTAGGACAACGGGTTTTCCTAAACCTATAGGGATTATGGGTTTCCTAAAAATACAAGGAAATAATTCAAGCCACAAAATAACAAATCTTCCCCTTGGCTTGAATTCTCTTCATCTATAGGAACAACGTCTTTCTACCTTGTCCTTGGGCTCTATCCATTGCCGGACACATCAACCAAGTCTAGGCAACGCCTAAACTTGTTAAGAGACTCAACCTCTTCAGCCATAGCACTAATCCGTTGATTTGGTTCTGTACCCGGAATAGCTTCTGGATAGCTATAACACTCAAATGCATCAACGGTCTTTGCAACTGCCAAAGCAAATCTCATAGGATTCGTAAGTCCAAGAAGATACCCATCAACTACGTTTGCAAATCTTTGCGGTCGGTCGATCACTCTCTTCTCTTTGCCTGTTGCAATGCTATATGATTGTTGTTGCACAGGTGCATCAACATTATCATCTTGATCAATATTTTGTACCTCCTCCACTTCCTCTACTTTAGAACTACTGGGCTGAGCTAGTGGAGATTCAATTTCTAGCTCTATGCAGTCACTGACACCATGATCTGTTTCTGCTGTTGCCTTTTCCCTCTGACTGTCTAGTGAGGCAGATTCATTGAATGTTACATCCCTACTAATAATTAGCCCTAGAGTCTTTGATCTGTGCACCACAACCTATAACCTTTCACTCTAGTTGCATACCTTAGAAATATGCACTTCTTTGCCCTCGGCTCAAGTTTTCCATCCCTCACATGAGCATAAGCAGGACAACCAAATATCCTTAAATTTGAATAATCAACAGGCGAACCAGACCATACCTCAAAAGGAGTTTTAAACTCAATAGCTGTGGATGGAGATCTGTTGACCAAATAACAAGTTGTATTGATTGCTTCAGCCCAAAAATCCTTGCTAACACATGAGTGTGAAAGCATGCTTCATGCCCTATCACAAAGTGTTCTATTCATACGTTCTGCAACACCATTTTGTTGTGGTGTTCCGACACAAGTGCGGTGTCTCACTATGCCCTCTTTGCTGCAGAAATTATCGAGCTCAGAATTGTAAAATTCCAACCCATTGTCAGTTCGAAGACGCTTAACTTTTCTTTCCGTTTGTCTCTCAACCATTGTCTTTCATTTAACAAATGTAGGAAATGCCTCATCTTTTGTTTTCAGAAAATACACCCACACCATGCTTTAGTAATCATCAATCAAAGTCATAAAATACCTGGCACCACTCTTGGAGGGAACTCTGTTTGGACCCCACAAGTCAAAGTGTATATTATCTAACTTGTCTCTGGTCTTGTGCTCGGCCTTCTTGCTGAAATTTACCCTTGTCTGTTTACCAAACACACAATGCTCACAAAAATTCAAAACTTGATTTTTGTACCCATTCAGCAAATTCTGCTTACTCAATAAAGATAATCCATTATCACTCATATGGCCAAGTCACTAGTGCCACAACTGAGACTGATTCAGATCACTTTTCCCAGAAGCTACGGCAGCTTCCACTTCAACTACACTGGCCTAAAGATGACACAATTTAGAATGCAGTTTACCCTTCATGAGTACCATGGAGCCTTTACACACTTTAATTATTCCATTCTCGGAGCAAAATTTATAACCTTGATCATCCAAAGTCGAAAGAGAAATCAAATTTCTCTTTATCCGAGGAGCATGCCAACACTCAATGTTTCTGATAATTCCGTCGAACATTCTCAATTTGATGTTACCAACCCCCTCTACTGGTAATGGATTATCATCTCCCATATAGACAGTCCCACTCATTTGCTTGTAAGTTGCAAACCAATTATTGTGTGGACATATGTGGAAAGTAGCACTAGAATCAAGAACCCAAGAATTCTGCCCATGACTAGAATTCACAGCACAGACTTCCCCTACATAGTCATTATCATCAGAATTATTGCCAGTGTCAACAATATTTGCCGAATTATCTATTTTTTGGTTCCCTCTTTTCTCCTTCATCTTAGGACAATCTCTCTTGTAGCGACCTTGCTCCCCGCACTCATAACAGTGTTGCTTCCTTGCTCTAGACTTTGATCTAGTGGTTGACTTTTTCCTGTTAAAGTCCTTTTGTTGTGTTCTTCCTCTAATCACAAGACCCTCGCCCTCAATTCTGCTGTCTGGAAAGCTCTTTTTCAACTCTTTAGATTTTAGTGCATTACTAACATCTTCCAGTGAAATGTTGTCTTTCCCATATAGCAGCGTATCGGTAAAAGTATCATAAGACGGTGGTAAAGAACATAACACAATCAAGGCCTGATCCTCGCTCTCAATTTTGATATCCACATTCTTCAGGTCCATTATAATTGAATTAAACTCATCAATGTGAGTTTTAATGTCACGGCCCAAATCCCAATCCCGGCCGTGATGGCACCTCTCGTGAAGACTAGGCCAGCCAGAACAATGGAATCACTTCTTTAACCATTACTTAACATTTATAAATCCAAAACGCATAAAAAACAGTTATAAAAGCGGAAACAACGACAATAGCAAAGGGAACCATCCCGACACAGCCCGAACCGGGGTGTCACAAGTCATGAGCTACTACAGAGTTGCTATAAGTCTAAGAGATAGAATATCTGATACAATAGTCTGAAGGAACTGAAATAACATAAAATGGGGGAGTCAAGGGGCTGCGGACGTCAAACAGCTACCTCGAAGCTCCAACTCGCTGCCTGGTCTGGGGAGAATATCAGTGCTCAGGTGCGGACTCTGCTATGCCTGAATCTGCACGCATAGTGCAGGGAGTAATATGAGTACTCCGACCCAGTAAGTAATAATAATAAATAATAACCGAAGGCATGAAAACACATAAGTGCACGAGGCAATTCTATATCAGACAGTAAATCGTTTAAAGCAATAAAACAGTAAAAGTCAAATGAAATCTCCTTTTAAAAACAGGTAAATCAGATAAAACAACAGGTAAATAGTGAGTAAAAATCTGCCCCTCGGGCCCAGTATCAATCGCTCAGAACAGTATCAGCCCCTCGGGCTCAGTATCAGTCACTCAGCATATCATCAGCCCCTCGGGCTCACTCCCAGATCATATGGGTACCCGCACTCACTGTGGGTGTGCAGACTCCAGAGGGGCCCCTTACAGCCCAAGCGCTATATCAACATAAGGCCTGAAAGCCTTCTCACATCACACATAAGGCCTGAAAGCCTCCTCACATCACACTCGAGGCCTGAAAGCCTCCTCACATCACACTCGAGGCCTAAAAGCCTCCTCACATCACCCTCGAGGCCTGAAAGTCTCCTCACATATGGCCCTCGGCCTCACTCAGTCCAGAAAAACATCATAAGCCCCTAAGGCATCAATAAAATAGTAGTGCTCAGCCCAAACAACAGTGGAAATATCATTAAAGTCTCGAAATTCAATCCCCGAAGGATTCAAGTAGTCGGCATTAAGCCCAAAATATGGCAATAAGCCCAAATCATGATGATAAACAGGACAGCTCAGTCAAATACACGGTAAATTATCAAACGGGACGGACCAAGTCGCGATCCCCAGTAGTAAACAACCCCGCGCTCGCCATTAAGCGCGTGTTTCACCTCAATATAGCACTACGTTGTGCAATTCCGGGGTTTCAAACCCTCGGGATATCATTACTATCATTACTCACCTCAAGCTGGCCAAAATCCTAGCTCGCTATGCCCTTGCCTCGCAAATCGACCTCCTCGCGCGTCAAATCTGATCAAAACCACAACGAATACGTTACAATAGGCTAAGGGAACATAACCCAATCAAAAAGACTCGAAAAATATCGAAATTCACGAAATTTGCAAA